ACCTTACACCAGTCAGAATGGCTATATCAAAAAGTCTGCAAATAATAAATGCTGGAGAGGGTGTGGAAGAAGGGGAACCCTCCTTCACTGTTGGTGGAGAATGTAAATTGGTGCAGCCACTATGGAGAACAGTACGCAGATTTCCTTAAAAAAGTAAAAATAGAGTTACCGCATGATCCAGCAATCCCACTCCTAGGCATATATGGAGAAAACTCCAATTCGAAAGATACGTGCACCCCAATGTTCATAGCAGCACTATTTACAATAGCCAAGACAGAAGCAATGTACATGTCCATTAACAGATGACTGAATAAAGAAGTTGTGTGTGTGTGTGTATACATGCACACATATACACAGTGTTATATTACTCAGCCACTAAAAAATAATAAAATACTGCCATTTGCAGCAACATGGATGGACCTAGAGATTATCATACTAAGTGAAGTATGTCAGACAGAGAAAGACAAATACCATATATCGATTATATGTGGAATCTAAAAAAACAACACAAATGAACTTATTTACAAAACAGAAGTAGACTCACAGACATAGAAAAACAAACTTACGGTTACGAAAAGGGAAAGATATGGGAAAGGATAAATTAGGAGTTTGGGATTAATATATATAAAAAAGATAACCAATAAGGGCCTACTGTATAGCACAGGGAACTATATTCAGTATCTTGTAATAGCCTATAATGGAAAAGAATCTGAAAAAGAACATACACACACACACACACACACACACACATAACTTATTCACTTTGTGGTACACCTGAAACTAACATAACATTGTAAATCAACTATATGTCAAATAAAAAAAAAAATTTTAAACCTTATTAGGAAAAAAACAGACATGATAAATAAAGTAAACTATAGGCCTATATTATTTGAATATAGACATAAAAATTCTCAGTAAAATATTAGCAAACTAAATCAAGTAATATATAAGCAAAGAGTACCTCATTATCAAGCAGAGCATCTTCCAAGAATGTAAAGGGATTTAGTCTCAAAATCCTGTTAACATAATTCACCATCTTTTATTTAAAGGAGAAAACCATTTAATCATCTCATAAGCTGCAGAAAAACTAGTAACAGTCAATACTAATTTTCAGAAAACTCTTTGCAAACAGGGAGAAAAGGGAACTTCTTTAACTTAATGATAGATAACTATCATTATCCAAACCTAAAATAACATTGCATTTCGTGGTAAAACGTTAGAGGCATTTCCTTGAAGATGCCTACTGTTCCCACTTCTATTCAGCATTGTGCTGGCCATCTTAGTACAAAGTGACAAGAAAAACAATAAGTATGTGGACTGGGAAGGAGGAACTAGCGTTACTCACTGGTAATATGATTCTCTACACGGAAAATCCAAGAGAACATACAGTCAAATTATTAGATTGAGTTCCACAAGGTTATGAGAAACAGAAACAAGTGTTCCTGAATACCAGCCACAAATAATGAGAAAATGTGGCTTTTCAAAGAAACCATTTAAAACAGCAAGATGTCTGAGAATAAACCTGTTCAAAGATTGTAAAACTTTACATACAGAGGATGACATTTTGTCAATGGATATAAAAGAAAAATCTAAGTGGAGAAATACACCACATTAAAGATGTGAAGTTACTATCATAAAGATGGCCATTTCATTCGAAAGTAATCTATACATTAAATAAAATTTCAACCTAACAGAGGTTGTTTGTGGAACTCTGCAAGGTGATTCTAAAATTCTTATGGAGGAATAAAAGGAACTACAAGGATGGACTCACCCAATGAGATACCAGAATTACTATAAAGCTTTGGTACTAGCCCAGGGATTGACAAAAGGACTAATGGAATTGTAATGGACTGAATGTTTGTGTACTCCCAAAATTCATGTGCTGAAATCCCAGCCCCCAGTGTGGCTGTACTTGCAGATGGGCCCTCCAAAGTAGTAATTAAGATTAAATGAGGCCAATCAACAGATGACTGGATAAAGAAGTTATGGTATATTTATACAATGGAATACTACTTAGCCATAAAAAATCCCATATGCAGCAACATGGATGGACCTGGAGATTGTCATTCTAAGTGAAGTGAGCCAGAAAGAAAGAAAAATACCATATGATATCACTTATATTTGGAATCTTAAAAAGACAAACGTGCTTATTTACAAAATAGAAACACACTCACAGACGTAGAAGACAAATTTATGGTTACCGGGGGAAAAAGGGGAGGGAAGGGATAAATTGGGAGTTTGAGACTTGCATATGCTAACTTCTATATATAAAATAAACAGCAAGTTTATATGGTATAGCACAGGGAACCATATTCAATCTTGCAGTAACCTATAGTAAAAAGGAATATGAAAATGAATGTCTACGTATATGTATGCACTATCATGCTGTCTGCCAGAAACTGGCACAACATTGTAAACTGACTATGCTTCAATTAAAAAAAATTAAATGAGGCCATAAAGGTGGGGCCCTGCTTTGATAGGATTAGTGTCCCTATAAGAAAGGACAAGAGAGGTCTGTCTCTCCCTCTACCTCCTCCCCACCCCCACCTTGCCCATCATGGAAAGGCCATGTGCGGCAATGGTGAGAAGGCAGCCGTCTGCAAACCAGGAAGAGTCCTCACCAGAAACTGAATTTGCTGGCACTCTGATCATAGACTTCAGGTCTCCAGAACTATGGGAAAATAAATGTCTATTGTTTAAGCCACCCAGTCTGTGGCATTTTGTTATGGCAGCCTGAGCAAACCAATACAGGAATAAAAAAGAAAACTCAGAAATAGGTACATACTTATGACAACCTGATATATAATAGAGGTGGCATAACACAGCTGAAGGGAATATTTAATAAATGTTCTTGGGACTAAGAGAAAGAGAAGGAGAAACTGTGTATACCATTAAAATTAAAACTTTATAACAGAAACCATCATAAACAAAAATTTTTAAACAAGCCAGTAGAAAAATGGGGTAAGAGGTAGGTACAGGCAGGAAATCCAAATGCTTAAAACGTGTTTTTTAAAACGCTTCATTTTTAAAACCAGCGACCTGAAAGTTAAAACAACAAGGTCCTATTTCAACTCACCAGATGGGCAAAAATAAATCAGCCTGGTCATCCTGGACCTTGGCAGGTACACGGGAAACCAGAGCCCCTGTACGTACGTGGCTGGTGGGAGTGGACGCTGGCCCAGGCATTTTAGAGCTACCTGGGCAATACTTCAATGAGGAAAGATGCGCACGGGAGGCTCAGACAAGAGTGTTCACTGTGGGCACAGTTGGCAATAATAATTTTCTAAACAGTAAAAACACTCCAGTGCCTCTAGTTTCGTTTCTTCATGCAGTAGAATACATCAGCTAAAGTTAACGAATTCAATCTCTATTTCTGAAAATGGGTAAATCTCAAAAACTTGGTTAAGTTTTAAAAATTTAAAAAAACACATGCTATAAGATACATCTTTTATTTACATTTTTGAAACATAAAATAGTGTATATTGTGAGTGAATATACAATATGGAGGAAAATACTAATACACACTTAGGAAAGCTACCCATTGACTTGGAACACATGTAGGAGGCGGGAAAGGGGATGGAAAAAAGTGTTTTTTTGTTTTTGGTTTTTTTGGGGTTTTTTTTTTTTTTTGTTTAGTTCCTT